AGCAGGTCATCCATATATACCTGACATACCGAGTCATCGATACCCCTCAAAAATTCGTCCATCAGACGCTGAAATGTTATGGGCGCATTCTTCAGACCAAACGGCATTCTGGTGAATTCATAATGCCCCCTTTCAAATGTAAACGCTGTTTTGTGTTGGTCTTCCGGGTGCATCCGTATTTGGTGATATCCCGCCTTGAGGTCCAACGTGCTAAAGACCACGGCCCCACTCAACCTATCGAGTATATCTTCGAATCTTGGGATCGGGTACTTCTCGTCTACCGTGTTATCGTTCAATTTACGATAGTCTACTACTACCCTGTATTTTTCCTTATTATCCCCCGGCGCTACCTTCTTTTTCACCGCCCACAGGGGGCTATTGAATGGTGAGGTGCTATCAACTATGATCCCTTGTTCTTTTAGACTATCTAACTCCTCCCGAATATGCTGCCTCAACGCCTGCGGGTATCTTCTCTCTTTCACGTAAGTTACCCTATCCTGCTTCAGTGGGATTTCATGCACCGTCCTCCCTGTTACCCCAATACCTCACCTTCCCTGAAGAAAATATCCCTAAACTCCTCCTGTAGCAACTTCCTCCAGTCCTCCACTCTGTTCACCGCTCCTATCCGCACCCTTCTTTCTCTCGCGACCCCTATACATCCGAACTTCCTCTTTCCCAGCCTAACACTCCAGGCTCCTCTACGGTTTCTAATGCTCGCCCCTACCTGCCCTAACAAATCGCATCCTACTATGACCTGGTATTCCCGAGTCATGTTTTTTACTACGCGTACCTTCAGCTCGCCCTCTTTTTCTGCCCACCGATCAAGCCTAATTGTCGCTTCCCCCTCTACACTATAGGGACCACCCAGAGTGATTAGCTGGCAGTCGCATTTTTGTATCCGGAGTACCCTCTCGCTCCCGCACACTTTCCCTAACGCCCCGCTGGTCATAATAGTGCTCGAGCTCCCGGTGTCCACGAGGCACTTTACTCCCCCGTCTACCTCGATAATTGGCAACCAGCATGGCTTACCTCGGATATTGTTGCATGTTGCTGTGCGGTCGCCTCTCTGCTGCCACACTCCTCAGATGCCGCCCCGCTTCCTCCTTACCGCCGCCGCTCGTCGGTGCTCGGTCCGTTGGCTGCTCCTGCCTCCTTCGCCTCCACTGCTGCCTGGTTCGTCCGTCTCTGTTCCCGAAGTTCCCGACTCCTCGGTTGCCTCCTCCGAAGATCCACCCTTCTGCTGCATCCTAGCCCGTCTCGTCAACTTTTGCATGTTTACCTCCATCGGCTCGTCTTGAGGTCTTTCTCTCCTCCGAAATATGTATGGGCACTGCCTAGCAATATGCCCTTCGGTCCCGCACTCGAAACATCTAGTGCGCGGACATTACTAAATGTCCTGGCTTTCCACACCCATGACATTTCATGTCTTCCCTGCGGGGTCCATTCCTCGGCCTCGCCTGTCCGGATATTTTTTCACCCATCCTGACCTTTTCTCCGATCGGCTGTATCGTTTCCCTCTTCTTCCAACCCATCGGGGCTGTCCGGGGTCGTCTGTCATTCACCCGGATCCACTCTGGTTCTTCCACGTCCATCCGAGTCTCTTCTTCCCTTGCGCTTTGGTCGATCATTTCCTGGGCACACTCGAGGAATGATCTCTCCCTGGGCAATCTCTCAATGATCTCCTCCCCGTTTCCTTAGCCAGCTGGACCTTGAGTATCGTCGAAAGGAACTCCATCCTGGCTTCGACCTCTCCCACACTCATTGTTTCGCGCATTTTCTCCGTTATGCGGTTGTACTTTGCCACTAGTACCCCCGCATACTGTCCCCTCGTCTGTTGTTGGGACCGGCGCTCCCTAAACATTTGGAAGATGTCCTCCGAAGGCCTTCTTCAGTCGCTCCTTAATCACCGGCCATGGTGTCTCCTCATCCGCCTGAATTTGGTTCAGGATGTTCCTCCTTACGCGGCACACCAGAGCTGCTTTCAATGCTTCCGCGTCCCCTAGGTTTACCAGGTCCTACGCCACCTTTACCTCTATTCTTGACATGAGGCGGTCTCCGCCTTTCAGGAAGTGGTTAAGCTCTCCTACCTCGCCACCGAAGCGTTCCAGGTCCGCAATGGCTCTCCGTAAGTCCTGCGTGGTCGCCGCTCTTATCTTCATCCATTCTAGCGCGTTAGGGTGCGCTTCTGCCAATGTGTCCCTCGGTAAGGGAGGGATCTCCTGGATCTGCGGAATCTGCGGTACCTGAGGTATTTGAGGTATCTGAGGAACCTGAGGGGCCTGCGTGATCTGAGGTATCTGCGGAATTTCTTGAGGTTGAGGGATTTCCGGTGCGCTTAACACTCCCGGCCTGATTAAGCCCTCTGTTGGCATCTCACTCTTTCCTTATGACTAGGAGAAGAAAAAAAACGAGAGAAAAAAAAATGAATTTAAAAAAAAATTACTTCTCTGTTCTCCTGACGTAGTCCCGGGTTCTGAATATACACTGCTTTATTCATTTAGTAATCATCCTTATATACATTTCATATGTTTATTTACATTCAGGACGGCATTAAGGCTGATATCGCCGGTCTCCGGTCTTTATCTTATATATATATATATATATATATATACACATAAATACATTAATATATTGAATATATTAGTATAGAATATATTAATAGTTGGCTATAATATACATTTGCATGAAAATCACAAATTTCCTCTCTGAAGTTAAAATCACTTTATAAGCCATGTTAAGGAAAAAGATCCCATATTGAGTGATTATCTCTTTTGAGCGATCGTAGCAAGAAGGAGTCAAAGCAGTGATGTAATTAAAGCTAATTAACGTCCCTAATTAAACCGATAAGGACCAATATGGAGTTCGCAGAATCGTAATCGCTATCTAAGTAAAGGGATGTTATACTATGAAAACGGCATATGCGATTCTTAGAATCCCATTTAAATCACGAACACGAGATCTTGGCCCACTGAAGAAGGTGGAGTGACACTTGTATAGTGGCAAAAATGGACATTAGCTAACTAATTTTTGTTAGCTATGATTAAACTGAACAGCTAATTATTTGTAAAATTATCTGGGATTAATTTAGTTATTAACTGTTAGTTCGTAGCTAATTTTGACAATTAAATTAACAGTTAATTGAAATGAACAGCTGTTTTTTTATTTACTGATAGAAATCGGATCTTATAACAACTAAAACTGACATTTCGCTATTGCAAATAACCTATAACTAATAACGTTTTTACTTGGATGGTTCTGTAACGTTTGTATCAAAACATAATTTGTGAGCTATCATTAATTCCTATCTTTTGTTTAATTTTTGTTATAATTTTTGAATCCGCACCCGTTTTCAGCATCAATGTCAATAATTTAGTTGTTGGTCTTTCCGCACTATACCCCAAATTTTTTTTCCTTAATATTACGAGTTGTGAAGATTTTTCATAACATTTTCAAGCATCTCTGCCATGACATGGAAATAAGAAATTCTGCAGTACAATCGATTTTAAAATTCTATTTAATTTTTTTCAGGAACTATTGAAACAATTGAGGAAGATAACATTTAAGTCCCATTTTAAAATTTTTTGAACAAACTTTTTTTTTTATAATATACTTATCTGTTTGTGTAGTACCTGCTAATTGCTAGTTTAGCTACAATAATTATCTTTGGACAAACAGATAACAACTGATTCTTAACTATTGTATTTATCTGTTACTTTTATAGTTAATTTAGCTATAGTTTTTAGCTGTTAGTTACAGACAGTTTTTGTCCTAATTTGTACAGTGGTACCGCTAAAAGATGTAGAACTACTTGCTTCGTAAAAATATCGATTTATAGTTTTTAAAAATTGGTGAAAAAAAAACTGGAAATTTGCAATAAAATCAGAGCCTAAGTTATAAAGAATGTATTTTCATGATCTAATGTAGAAAATGAAATGTGTAGAACCAAATATATTCATATAAACATAAAGTAGACTAAATGACTGCAAAAAGAAAAAGTATTATTTGTAAAAGAATGAAGATGGTTATGAGTCCAGAGGCCTGGAAGCTTTGAACCTGCTGCGAATTCCAGACATTCCTCTCCCGTTAAAACTTTTGACATGTGACGTTTTGTGACTGACCATAGCCACCTTCAAACAAAGTCCGTCCTGACTTCCTCCCACCCTCCGCAACTTTCCTCATTTCTCTGGCGGTTATAAACTATTCCATGACCGATTCAGTTAAATTATAATATTAAACTGTCAGGCCAACTTTTTTTCCGAAAAACCTTTTAGAAAATTAAATTAGTCAATAATTTGATAAATTTTCCCTTTGCAATATTCCAACAGCGGCTCCTGATATAAATTTTTACGGGACCACACAGTATTCCATTTCGGAAAAAACAACTGACAGAAATCTTAGTTATGAGTGAACACACATAAAAAAGAAGTGGAAATTTAGAACTTCCTTTTTTTGATACTGGTTAAAAGCAAGTTTCGAATTGCAAACTGGTTTTCGGTTTGCTTACATCCAATGCTGGAAGTAGACAGATGGACCTCATGTATAAAGACATCTTTTTTATTCAACTACTTTGGCTGGCAAAACTCAATTTCGCCCCTGGGCAACACCTGCACCTCAAACGGATTCCCAAACGAAGCTTATCATTATTCATTAGCGCCCTAGTCGCACTGATAACTAATTCATGACCCCGCCCTGGTAGCCGCTCCTATTGAAAATTGAATAGCCTAATAAATAATCATTACCATTCATAACTTAATAAATTCGGAAATATTTCGATTGTGTTAATCGATTACGATGAATATTCATCTGGAGGTCTAGTCTTTGCGGGACAATAGCCGAGAGAATCTGCTTTCCTAACAAAGTACCCTGCAACATTTCCTTGCAATTAGCAAAGAGAAATCCAAGAAGGAATAATGATAACTTGCGATTGATTTGCGATGTTATACAGTTTGATTCTTAATGTTCGTCAGGGGCTGATTGCTTGTGTTTTCTCTCAAGGTCTGATGAGGTTCAAAGATGAAATCATAGAAAAAATAAGAAACCATCAAGCATCCAAGGACATCGACAGAGTGTTAAACTCTAAATCAAACCCAAGATATAGAAAAATCTGCTCCTTTAATGTTACCAGGCCAGAGGATTATCTTCAGTTCAGGGCTCTGAATTTAAACAAATTAAGAGCCGTTAGTCGTCTCAGAATAGCAAGTAAAGGTTTTATGAAAATATACTTAAAAGATGCTATTTTGACTATTAAATCCAGTGAGGTATGTGGTGCATGCAACTGCCTTGTGACTGACCCGGTAACTAATTTTCTGATCCAATGTATCAAGTTCAACGAGCCAAGAAATAATAATTACTTGAATGCATTTATCACTGAATCCAGAGAAGATGCTAATGTGGAGGAGATACTGAAAATAGACACAACGAAAAAAATAAACCAACTGTATTATTTCATACAGGGCTGTTCATTGAACTGTTAAGTGGTATAGTTAATCATATAACATATATTAATGCTTATTTATATTGTCATTTGTCTTATACCTCTCGAATATTTAAAAAAAAAATGTTTTACTAATTGTTATGTACATATATATCGTTTACTAATCTGTTATTATATTAGTCATACTTAATGCTGTGGACATTGTTAATGTTATGTTTGAATGCAGTACTAGACTCAAGATCTAACATTGTTAATTATACCATTATATTTATTTGTACAGGAATTTCCTTAGACAAATAAAATAAACTATCTATCTATTCTTAATGTTTGTTTGTTCAAACATGCATTAAAATATTATATTTTTTCTGGCATATATTAATATATTTATTTAACAGTTTGATAGGCTTATAAAACTGATGAGGATTGCATACCATCCTACCGGCCGTTTCGGGTTTAAGGACAGTGAATAATTGGATTACAACTATTCAGAGTCAGCACAGCAGGCATTAAAGGACCTACATTTCTTTCCTTGAAAAACATTGTTCCTAGATCAAACGTCTGGGTGGGTGCTCATATCACTAGAAACAACATTGCGGTTCCCCATAAAAGAAAACGGGTAGCGTCATCACACCTACGTCTAGTCTGTGTGGGTTGCCTCTAATTGTTTGACGGAGCAGCATGGCTTTTCCTAGTAAACGGTTACACAACCAAGTGCTTATCACACTCGATTTTGCTTGATTGTGATAACCTATTGCAACCGTCTTAGTACACTGTTCCATACAGGACCTATCCTGCATTATCATATATTGAATTATATTTTCTTAAAATATATTTTGCACAGGTTATTAATAAACAAACTATATTTTGGTTTTGTTTTGAAAATTATTGTTCACATATTAATTCCCTATTGGGTTAAACGAAACAGACTTAGGTGATGATTTTCATAAAATCATAATTACAAAATAAATAACAGTTGAATACCACATTAACATGCTAAGTTTTCATAGTATTGTAATTGGAGTGTGTAATAATCATTATCGGAAAATTATTCTATTAATCTATTTTATTTTAGTGATGAAAATCGGTATTCAAACAACAAAATCTCTAAATGTCATCAAGATATGATTATTTGTTCACAAATCCTGAAGATCATCGGGAAAATATTTATGTATACATATATACCAAATGCCCTCGCGCGGGCTCATTACCGCGTTTGGGGAGCGTTCCACGGGTGGAGGATGTGGGGATGGTCGGTGGAAATTCCTTGGAAGTTCTTCTCGGCTAAGTCCGATGGACTAGCTGACCAACAATGAGAGGGGCCCTCCAGACTTGCTGGAGAGAGGGGACCTAAAACTTGCTGGAGGTAGAGGCCCACCAGACACTCTGGAGGGTGTGACGTAGGATTGAACGCCCTACTCACATATCTTTAGTTCACCAAATACCACAAATAGTCATGGATCTCCCTAAGGTAAAACGCTCATTATCCGGAGGTAAACTAGTCCCCCGTTCGGGTCTCCGGGTGGGGACTGTTTTAGGGGATTCATGGCGCAAGTTGAAATAAGAATTGCGTGAACTGTATCCGGGTAATATAATTGAGGTAATTTCGTCGTGGCGAATCAAATGTGCTTTTAAAGTTGTTGGGATTAGTAACGAGAAAATTCCTAAAAGATTAATATTTGTTGTGCCGAATGGTAAGCGTCCGAGGGGTAGACCAAAGTGAAGGTGGGAAGATTGCATTAAAGCCGATCTGAAGGGACTGGGTTTGGACGGCGAACGGTGGAGGGAGGTGTGTAATAAGCGATTGGTGGTGTCGGCATCGAAACTTCGGGTTCGCTAAGCCTTTTATTTATTTATATACCAAATGCTTCCACTTACTAAACCCGGGATTCTAGAGATAGACCGAAGTAATCACAATGGCTAAGAAAACTGTGTTTAAAAATACATTCATTTCCTCCCTGATCTACCCCAGTGAATTCTGGATTATTAATTTAAGCCACAGAAGCCAACTTCAAGTAATGAACATATAATATATAGGAGAAAAGAGGGGAAAAAAGAGAGACACAATTACAAATACGATAATAAGAAGCAATTGAAGAGTTAAACCAGCTAAAATCATAGTAAAAGAAGACATAGGCAACGCTAGTGTGGCCATGTCGAAAGAATACAGAAGGATAGAATATTCAAAACAATTTATGAGGCGGGAGTGAACGAGGATCTAGAGGGAGACTCGGAAACACATGGGAAAGTGTAGTCGGGACTGTCGAAAGGGAATGGACTTGAACAGACGCAGTCGGTTTGTGCAAGATCCTCAACGCTGTTAACTGTAGCAGAGGAGTTTATTAAGAAAAAGAAGATATATTTATTTATCTCGATTCAGACCAACGACGATGAACCAAGCGTATATCATTTATAGGTTTTTTTTCTTTTCTGGCCATATTCATCTCATTTTTCCCCATCTTCCTCCTTGTAGAAAATCTATTTATTTCTAACTTCCATGCTTCTTCTTATCCGATAACAAGCATGTTTGTTACGATTTTCCCAAATTGGTGCTTATCTTAGTAGTCTTGCTATTTGATACCCATTTTCTCTATTTCTTTTTTTATTTATTCCCGATATCCTTTTATGTTTTGCAGCCCATCACTTTATCGAATATTAGTTTGTTTAATCTATTTCGATCCATTCTCTTCATACGCTCGAAGAATTTTAATACTCTTTTCCTCATCGATGATCGCATATTTTAAATATGCTCATAAAACTCACAGTTCTTTATTAATCGGTATTCTTCCCCCACCCTTGTGTTAATCCCTGTACTTATCGATTCCATGTTGATAAATCCCGTCGTCTCTGCTCCATAGAGTATCACCAGCTTAATGAGTGTTGTTGTTGGTTGGGACATAAATGGGTAAAACTTCAAGGCCATCAAAGCCTGTAGATTAATTTTGTTTATCTCTGACCTGAAGCTTTTAAATTTTATTCAACAAATTGTTCGATTTTAGGAAGTGTAAAACCAACTTTATCGTTTCTTCGTCATTGTTTGGAATTTTTCATATTGTTGTTGTAAGTCCTGAATTGATTAAATTTGAGATGTAAAAAGAACGTTCTTTCAAGATATGGCCGACTGTAAATATATTATTGCGGTGTTGGCATTCCGGTGGTGACTGTTTGCTGATGAGATGTGAATGGGGTAGATTGGTGTGGCCTATTCTCAGTCTTGTTAAGACAACCGCTTATGTGCGGATAGGGTGATTTGAATGTAGTACACGGCTTTACTATTTTTATTTAAAGAATTCGGCTTTTCGGGAGATTCTTTTTGTAATATATATTCAAATATTGATTCAGAAGGTGAAATTAATAATTTTATAAATTTTTTTTAGAAGTATATATGATTTTACACCAGTGAATAATCTATTTATTGAAATGTATTAAATATTGAAAAAAAATACGTTCTCTTTAAAAAGAAGACAATATTAATATAAGATCGTAATTAAATACTACTGATTAGTATCTGAAGAAAAGACTTAGGCTTGCGCTGGTGCTGTTTGGGAGGGCCGACTGACAGGGCCGAATTACAGCGGCAGACTATTGCGGCTCACCTCAGGAAATTATACTGGCTACAAATCCTGGCCGCTTCTCTCTACAAATGCTTACCACCGGCTGCTGAGCCAGCATCCCTTCCAACTGTAGCAAATTCACTGCGGGGGGGGGAGAGGAGGAGGAGGGGCAGAATTCAATAGCTACGTTTCCAAATATTTGGCTCTGATAACCTCAACGAAGATAATTCAAAATCTACAATACCCGTCTCGATACGAATGGACATACCTTGATGGAGAAACGTATTTGAGAACAAGTGAAAACATATTTCAAATTAAAGATTTTACAAGATAATTCTTTAATAATGCCAAACCGTAGTGCGTAAGAAAGAAAAAAAGAAATACAACTGTGATAAAACAAAAAAAAAAAAAAAAACTACCTTTTTTATACCATTTGAAAATAATCCCTTCAACCATTCCACAATATCATTTTAATACAAATGGATATTCCTCGATGGAATAAAGTATTTGAGAACAAGTGAAAAGATATTAGAATAAAATAATAATAATTATAAATACAATCTTTACGCTATTTTATAATGATTACTTCTACAATTCCCCTCTCTCCCTAAAATCTCCCTCTCTACAATTTTACAATACACTTCTGAATACAAGTCGTTATTGCTAAATAGAATAAAGTATTTGAGAATAAGTGAAACAAAAAAATCTCCGTAAAGATTTCACAAAAAATACCATCATAATTCAATTTAATATTTTAGAGGGTTGAGTTCTACCAATGGGTAGTTCCTCTTCATGTTGTACATGCCATGTTACAAATTTCTCATTTACTTATTGTATTCTCTATATAATACAGTTGTAAATTGCATTAAAATAATAATAAAACAAATATTTGAGAGGTTTAATTTAACCAAATTATAATTATCTGCTGTAAATTCAATAGAAGAAATGGCTTGATAAGCAGGATGAATTAAAAGATAATTGTGGTAAGTTTGACTACACCAGTATAATTTAGATTATGAATTAAGGAATGAAATAACGATTCAAATGATGGAAACTGTTCATATTTTCCAAAAAATTGAGGAATTTGTAATTCGGGGAATTCAGTCAACCTACAGGTTCAGACGTACTGGGTCGAGAAGTGGGAACTATGACTTGCTAAGTTTTAATTAATCTATCATGAGCAACCTTTATTTCACAATAAAGTTTCTCTACATCAATTCCATGCTCCTTCTCCACCGATTCATTTAGCACCGAAATTTGGTTCAATACTGTTTCAAATTCCTCAAGATGGGATTTAATTTCCGAATTCCTAGCAATAAAAAGTTCCTTTTTATCTGGAAGATCCTTGATCAAATCGAATGTCGTTTGAGTTCTATGAAATACCCTTCATTTTTTAGCATGAATAACCTTAAGTTCTTCAGTACCCTTTGCCGGTGCCATCCTCAAAAATATGAATTTAAACTTTGATTGCTGAAGGCAATACCAGGTTGTTTTTTAAATTTATTTTTATTAGGTCGCTCCTGGGTACGAATGCACCAGCTTTGGTTTTTACGCAGTCAAATCTTTTAATGCCCTGATGTAACAATCGTCGTCCAGATGTCGTGACAATCGCAGGTTTATTAAACCCTTATTGTAATTCTGCTACCTTCTTACCTCCCCTGACCGACTCTTACAACTCAGTAGATATTTCTGGTGGGTTTTCGGAACTGAAGTTTGTAAAAACGTCATGTGTGTGGAAGGAAAACAAGCACGAAGACATGTTCCAAGTGTAAAAAATACATTTGCAAAGCCAATCTTGTAATTAAGCCTGTGTGCATTTCGTGTCATCAGCAAGACGAATCGGATTGCGATTAATTTGAATAAGTGATAAATTTATTGAGGAAGGAGATGGTCCGGGGTAGCTGTCATAAATAGACTAAATATTGGCAAAACTATTTTATTAAAAGCCAATGTTTCGGCCCCAATGTGTTCAGCAAGGAGTTTCACTTAATAACTATTATTTGGAAAACTAAGAGATGAGGGTGATGAAGACGGAGTAGGCGAAAGAAGTGGAGCGATCTTTGGAGAGTCTGAGATGTGGTGAAGTTGGAGTAAAAAGCCAGAGGTGCGGATCTGTTGTTACCTTGGAGTATGGGACTGCGACGAAGTGGTGCTGAGTTTGTATCTGGCCGTTGTTGGACCAGTTGTTTTTGAGTCATATTATATAGTTGACCGTTGAGTTGAGTTCTAAGATGAATTTATTGCTTTTAATATTTTAGTTTTTATATGTTTCAAATTGCTTTTTACAGTAAACTTATGTTGTTTTTTAATCAAACTTATGTTTTATTAAACTTATGTATGCCCAAAATCAGTAGTGGTCTTGCACTCTGCAAGACCAAGACCAAGGCCGCCTACAGGTAAAATAAATCGATTTTTCAAAATAAAAATTAAGGCAAAGTACTCGACTATCTTAGTTACTATATGCTAATAAATGGTATAACCAATATGCTTTTGCATTTAACTCTACTAAGTTTTCAATTGGGCTTAGTTAGGAGTCTCCCATCTAAAAAATTACAGTAATGTCTCTATAGTAATAAGCTAATAAATAACTGCAAGACTCTTGCGCAAGACCAAGACCATGACCAAGACTGAGTTTGCAAGACCCATACTCGTCTTGGTCTCGCATTTGGGCGATAATATAATAATAATAATAAATTATTATTATAAATACATATTATATTATATAGTACGAAATAGTGAATTTAAACAACAGAAAAAAACAAAACATAATCATTGCCAAAAATGCATGATGCATTCCATACACCGCGCGCCTACTAATATTTTTTGAAGAAATATGATATTTGAGAACAAGTGAAAAAACATCTCTATTTACACTTTTGACAACATAATTTTATAATAATATACAAACGTACCTCCATAAGTACAATATATATATATATATATATATATATATATATATATATATATATATATATATATATATATATATATATATATATATATATATATATATATTTAATAATAACAATAAAAATTCCATCCGTTAGTTAAACTACCATTTAAAAATTATTACATACTTGAATTTTAATTGATATTTAAAATCATTGTTTCGATTTTTTGACATCTTAAGGGGCAGAGTGTTACATATAATGCAAAAGGTAAAAAAAAAAAAAGTACATATTTAAAATACAAATGAATATTCTTTTAAGATTATTTTATTAAAAAATGGTCAACTAGCCACATTAGTATCGGAATCAATTAACATTAGTTATTACAGAAAATTTTTCTTTATTCAAACGTCATCGAGAAATTGACACATCAGTCTAATTCTTGAGAGTGTACATTCTAAAATGCAATGCTTCTCTACCTTCGGATGTGAGGAAGAAAAAAAAAAAAAAAAAGTAAGCACATTTAACAGTCAGACAAAATACATTCTCACGTATTTGGCCAGTGTCCTGATAATGTCTTCTATAATGACCTACCCTGATAGTGTCTGAGTAGAAAAAAAAAATTGGCATTATTGGCTCCTACTAACAAAAAAGGATTATTCCGAATTACAAAATTCTGTTAACAAATAAATTGTAAATCACAGCAACCTCTTTTAATATATTAAAAATGTGCAACAATATCTTCATTCAAACTTCACAATTTCTATCATTCAGGCGAGAGGAATGAGAAAAAAATAAAATAATTTGTTTTATAAGTAACATTTAAAATAAAATTTGCAAGAAACTTTTTTTACAATTTTATTTTACAACTTTATTCATTTAATTGTGTGTATTTGTTGCTTCTTTGAAAAATTCGAAAATTAGATTGGCCACTAACCAAAAAGTTTCATAACATGGATATATTCGAACCCAGCAAATTTTGAAGAATTTATTTTTCCTTGGTCGATTCAAACCGTTCATTACTCAAAATCACAAACTAAAATATTTTTATAAACACCAATAAAATATGTCTTTACCTATAGTAGACCGATTTCGATGAATTTTTTTTTTTATTGAGTAGGAATTTTAAAAATTGTATATATAATACATTTAGGATGAAAACATTGTTTTGCTTATTTTTGTGGAAGATATGCTTATTTTTTTTCGACATTGGTGAAAAAATTTGTTTCCAAAATTATGGCTGAATAATTAGATTTGAAGATTGTTATCATGCAGCGTATCGCATCGATAACATATCTTTTAAAATTAACATATAAATATAGATAGCGCATAGAAACATATATAAGAATTAATTGAATAAGATAAATGGGAATGATATTGCTTCATATTCGTATGAAGATATATACTTCTGATATAACGCATAATAAAATTTATTATTAAATGAATTCAACAATTTTATCTGCTCGTGGGAACATAGCTGTTATCGGCAAACCATTTTGGACAGCTTAGCTGTCATTTTCAGAGTCTGGGGTTGTGATACCCGAAACAGCTCTAAACCTTCCAGCCAATTACAATAAAAATCTGAACGACGATTCAGGAGCGTTGAAAACGATAAAATGTTTTAATAAATAAAACACCGGAAACCAAGGAAATTTATTCGGAATTCAATTCATTACTTATTTTATTATTTAAATAAAATAAATATTTTTACTGACTTTTTTTTCCTTTCATTTAATATTAGTTTTATTTTTTCATTTCAGTATTGAGGATTATCGTTTAACCGAGATTATTTCACATTTGAATAACATAAATAACTCAGTTTATATTTTATCTGGTCGTTTGGCCATATAGGCATAATAGGCAATGAAATGGCTGATGGAGCAGCAAAAGAAGCTCTTACTCTTCCAGGCCGCGGTAAAGCTTTTCTGACATCGTCTGAACTTGCACCACCTCTAAGGGAAACCATATCCCAAGTATGGCAAAGATGGTGGGACAACAGTGCACCTAGCAAATTAAAGACAATAAAGAAAGAGGTGCAACCATGGAGCAGGTCCAGACGCTGCAGTCGTAGAGAAGAGGTCGTCCTCACGCGGCTGAGGATCGGACATACTAAACTGACACACCTCCACCTCATAACAAAACATCTTATCCCCAGATTTCAAAAGTGTGACCAGTCACTAACCATAAAACATGTTTTGGAAGAGTGTCCTTTTTACACCGCAATGTTAAAATATTTCTGAATACCCCAGAATATATCAGCATCCCTGGGAAATCTAGAAGACATCATTACCAAAG